TCATTACGAAATGCAATAATTATTACGATATTTTTACTATACACCACCCATTATTTCACACCTAAAAAAAAATAGCCATAAGAACATGATATGGTGTTAGTTAACGCGTGTATGCATATTCCCTATCGACCTTAATTGTCTTTCCTTATAAACAAGAGGCGCATGATCGAGGCTAATATTTCACTTTAGTGCTGCATCTTTATATATTCCAGGCTCTTGTGTTTAAGCCTAGGAAGTAAAAATCTAGAGTATATGATAAAATACAAAGGGAGTCATTATATATAAAACTCTACAATGGTTTATAGAGCTATTTAAAGCACTGATATTAGACAAGTTGAATAGATTCCTTTAGGTAAATTTATAAGTTGATAAAAGAGAACAATATAAACAATACATATTTTAAAAAATCTACCTCAAAACTGGATGTGTAGCCACGGCGGATTGAATTGTCAGATAACTGAGAATGCATTGTGGAGGCAGGAGACCCTCTGCCTATGCTTCCAGTGTCACTGCCAATTCCACTACTAGGGCTGCTGCAGACAACAGATCCAACTGGTTTTTGAGGTGATGACATCCTAGGATCGGCCATAGCAGGTGAAAAACCTCCCGCCTGTCCTGGGCTGGTAGAGAGCAGCGCCAAGTCATTGCTTGCCATGCCCCTACCTACTAGACTGCCAAAAAAGTTACTGAGCCATTCACGTCCATTCCATCTTGGAAAAGAAATCAGAGAGCGCAAATTAATGAACCTGCTACGCAACCGAACTTGACGTAGATAGGACGTGCACCATTCGAAAACGAAGCTCCCACTGCGGGACCAGATGTAATTTACGAATCCAGACTGGGGCCAGCAGTGATGGCGCAGGACTGCCAGCGTTAAGCCCAACGGTATCATGTAGAGCTCAACAAACCAGACCAATGCCAAGTAGAAAAATAGGGCAAGCAGAGAATGAAGAGGCTTCTCCCAAGACAACAGTTGATCAATAAGCTTGAAACTGGATGTGTAGACTTCCATTGATTTGATTATGCGTGCAACGTTGCGGCGCAAAGTCTATACTCAAAAAAAAGGAGAAAGGTGAATTCATTTTCATAAAATTAAAATATTGTATAATATAAGATTTAAGGATACTCGAATAGGATGAGGCTTGGGTTAAGAAATATTTTGGTGGAGAAATGAACTATTATTAGATTAAATATAATGCCACATGGAGTAGTGAAAGTTAGTTTAACGTTAGTCGGGAAGAAGTATGCTGCTCAGCCCACTGTAGTTTAAAGTGAAGGAATACCAGCCAAGGCACAAACCAAAAATCTGCCCGAGGGATATCATCCGATCCAATTTGAGATAGGCAAAATGGGAAGCAAATATCAGTTGAAGTAAAATCCATTAGATAGAATTTTCTTATATAACGATGCAAAGCTGAGGCACAGTTTGTGAGATTTTAAGAGCGAAGTAAGCTTAAATTGACTCCATAAAATGGATAAGAGCTATAACTATTACGAGAAGTTCCATTTCGAAGTAAAAAGTCTCTCTACTCTCCAATACACAAATGCGGCTGCACATGCTCGATTGGGATGCCAGACGACTGGATCGAAATTGGACAATCTGTTGACAGATTAGCCATAGATAAGACAAATATCCTTTAAGGGGAGCGAAGCAATCAGCATACAATGCCGTGAGAAATAGCACTGTCAAATCTGAATGATGCTAAAATTCGTATTAAAGTAAGGGAAAAACTTCCCTGACTTAATGATGGAGTGGAATAAATCAAATAACATTGTACCCTGGCCAAGAAGCTTCTTTTCATGCATTAGACGAAAGCTTAGAACAAATTGACAAGTTGATGAAGTGCGCACGAACAGTGGCCAAAGGACAATTGTCACCCATCTACAGGTGCAACTAATCCTAAAAAGATATGCTCTTTTTAAAGCAACGTTTAGTCATGAAGTCGTTCAGTTGTATTTTAAGTATACTTTATACTATATGCTGCTTCACAGTGCTACTTTATTGAAGTGAGGTGGGGGCATATAAATATATGATTTCCATGGTACTGCAGCGATGTCAAGATACGAAGCTACTTTAATTGCTTTGTGAATTCTGTATTCAATGATAAGCTAGCATGATGTTTTGCTATTGATAAAATCAGTACTATGGTGAGATTTAGATATGATGCGAGGGATATTAATAGGAGTATGGTGAAGATAAGTCGAGTGCAATCAAAATGAAAGTGAGGTAGAGACGAAACTATAAGGCATGCAACAAAATAGCATCGTGAAAGTTAAGCAAGAGTTTTAAAGAAGAATAGAAATTAATAAAAAATAAAAAATAAAAACACAAGGGTTTATTGTAAGCAGTTTCGTTAAATTAGTCGGCATTTTAATAAGAGATACGGAAATTAGTTGGTTAAGCAGCTTGAGGAACTGGCAATAAATGACAATGGCGCACAAGCTCTTCGTTTGAATAGGACGATATGATAATCATATAGAAGAAGTTTGATAAATTCATTCAGGCAAATAAAGGAAGATAAAGATAAAATGGCCCGGCAAGTCATACATTCTCAGTATTTATGAGAGCCTATTAATCTCAATTAAATCCATATAAAGCAGAAGTTATTTTTATAGTCAAAATTCGACTTGGGAAAACGACACAGAGGTTAAGTGGAAGAGCTAAGACGCAATCCTTAGGATGGCAAACTTGTGGTTAATCTGACCGATAGATGCTTACTTGGAGCCATAGCCATTCTTTTCTTTTATTTAATTTTTGTAATTCAATTAAAAATTAAAATTAAAATGCATTTGATTTAACTCAATTACATAAGATTGCGCTTTAAAAATTACTATTTATGATTAGTTGAATGCGCAAGCTTCATTCTGATCGTGTAGAGATATGACTCTGGATTTGGATTAATGTGTCCTTAATCTTTCTCTGCAGGGCATCTGCAAGTTACGTTTACCTATCAATGTACATCATTTTTAGGAATCTATATGCAAACATTATCCTATATAACATATGAATATTTTATATATTTGAAGTTGCCACTCCCGAAATGTGCCCATAAAGATTATCATTCCAGTTAATAGGGTTGCATACATAGATTGAATGAATTTTGCAATCTAGATAACTTTCCCAATAAACATCTTAAGTCAAACCGGACAGCAAAGCCTAATCACAAGCTAAAATATATGCGTGATATCAATGAAATAATAGTAATGCAATGAGTTACATAAATGACAAAAATCGTGCAAATATAAAATAAACATCTCTGTAAACAATAGGGACAGAAATGCAAAATAAATTTTTTAAAGCGAAAATATCCTTGTATAATTTAATCTTATTGCAAAATAAATATACTATCAAAGTAAAGAGAAGTGATTGAGCCATGCCTAATGCAACACGCTTACGACATTTATAAAATCCCTGCCAAACAAAAAGGAAAAGGATAAATCCAGACTGCTCTTGCTTAGACTTGTGCAGCTACTAATCAAGGATGAAATGACGCACCACACTGCGTCTGGGAGATTGACTTGAGGTTAAATCCCCTGCGTAATTCGCATGGCCAAGCCTTTGCTTCTTTAGAGATGCACGATAACAGTAGTCAAAACCTTTAAAAGTTGAA